TTCTACCTTCCCAATCTGTATAGCTTTTATTTCTTTTTATATGTTTTATTGCACTAGATGGTAAGAGATGACATCCTCGCCTGGTTCCCAAGCTTAAGGGGAAAGGATCCAGTTTCTCACCATTAAGCATGATGTTAACTACAGATTATTTGTAGACCTCCCGGCAAGACCTTCTGGTTTGGCATATAGTAGAGAATGTATTGAATGAATGAATGCATGCATGAATGAATGAATGGATGAATGGATGAATGAAAGTATCTGGAACATAAAGCAGTGGGGGAGTGGGAGAAGACAAGCATGGAACTAAAAACTAGGAATTAAATTAGGCCCAGTTTTTATTTATTATTATTATTTTTTTAATTTAGAAGTAAACTTTAATGTCGAAAATGCAAACTTGGGGAGGGTAGAAAGATCATACAGAAGTCATTTCCTGTGAAGGGGAAGATTGGGAGAGATTAAGGGATATAGTCCTGGGTGACCAGGAAGAGAAGCAAGAGTCCACCCCTCAACATGTTGGGTTCAGGGGAACCTGGAGGGTTACACAGCGGCCGGGCAGAGGCGCTCCTCACTAGGCCCAGTTTTTAAAGGTCTTGAATGTCTCAGAGCTCTCGGCCAACAGGCTGAATCATCTAACAAGAAATAACCAAATGAACCTGAGACCAAAGCTGATGGGTGCCATACAGAGGACCACATTAGCCACTGGGTGCTGGGTGCCCACCTCTGCTGGCAAGGCCTGGCCTGCCCTGGTGGCCTCTTGCCCTTAGCAAAGAATGAAGAGGACCTTTTCTTTTTGACAGTTTGGCCCTAAGGGTCCAGGATTTCTGTATGTGCTACTGGCTTTAGGCCGGGCACAGAAGAATGACAGGTCCCTGTTCTGCTTCTCATTCCCTAGGTGACCTTGAGGAAGCACAGACCCTCTTCGGGCTGGTTTCCACATCCATAGACTAGGGATGGGAGAGAATTAAAGGGGAAAGAACTAGCATTAAGGGCCTACTGTGAGTTGTTCTTTATATTAATACTTCTTAAAGCGCTAGCATTTTTGAGTGTCTACTGTTAAGTAGGCAACCTATGTGTATTATTTCATTTAATTCTCAAAGCAGCCTTCTCAGGTGGGTGCTGTTGGAATCACTAGCTGGCACGTATACCAACTGACATGTCATGTACCTCTCACAACAACCCTCCAACATAGGTGTTAGTCCCGCCAGGCTCTGGGAAGTGAAGCCGCGTATCTAAGGTCTCGCAGTTAATAGACGGCCGAATTTAGGTTCTGTTTGGGCTTTTTTACCCCAACGCTTGCTTTCCCTTCATCATACTCTCCCTCCACGATTATGACTGTTCTCCTTTGTTGCCCAGCCCATGAAATCCTCAGGCTCCAGGACCCCATGTCCTCAATGTGAGAGACAGAGCCTCGCGCAGCGCAGGTGGGAGCGACGTTTGGATGAAGGATCCAGCAGTAGGAGGGGAATGAGAGGGAGGAGAGGAGGAAGAGTTGAGGCAGGCAAGCGCCCGCGGTGAGGAACTGCTCCCTCTGGTGGTCATTCTGAGAAGCTGCGGACAAGGTGGAGTTGGTGCCCAGCGTGGGGCGGGCTTGGGCTCAGGAGAAGCCTGGCAAGGGCCCGAGCTATGAGAGGATCACCCACCGAGGTAGTTAAAGGCTCTGGTTCTGCTGCCTTTGGCTGGAGGAGAGTTAAGTCTGTCCCTATCCAGGACTTGTCAGGATGGAGAATTCTGAGCTTTGCTCGGACTCCATCAGCTATTGAGCCCCCGTCCCTGGTCAGGCATGCCTTGGAGTGTGTCCAATGAGGAGTTATTGTCTCATTTGACGGAGGAGGAAACAAACTCAGAGGTATTAAATCGCTCCAGCTCACCACAGTAAAGACCCCTTTTTTAATCTGCTTTTTGTTTGTTTGCTTGTTTTAATAAGACTGTTTTGAACCCACCTAGTTCCTGGCCCTCTTCTTTCTTTATTTGCCCTCTCTCCCCGGGTGATCTTGCTCGTGACATGGTTTTAAAACCCATCTGCGCACAATGCCTCCCAAGTTTAGATCTCCACCCCTCACCCTCCTCTGGGCTCCAGACTGTCAACTGGGTATCTTCACTTGGGTAGCTCTGAGGCACCTCAAATCCAACATGTTCAGGGGCAGACTCTTGCTTCTCTTCCTGGTCACCCAGGGCTATATCCCTTAGTCTCTCCCAGTCTTCCCCTTCACAGGAAATGACATCATCCTCCAGCCAATTACTCAAGGCAGAAACCCAGGAAACATTCTAGATTCCTCCCTCACCTACACTTTCATCTTCAAACCATGAACAGGTCCTGTTTCTTCTAGTTCCAAAATATATCTTGAACGCATCCACTTCTTCCCATCCGTTTTCCTTCTCCAAGTCATCCTCACCTGCAGGGACTATTGCAATAGCCTTCATGCTAATGTTTCTACCTCTCTTTTTTTTTTTTTTTTTTTTGAGACAGGGTCTTGCTCTGTCACCCAGGCTGGAGTACAGTGGCTCCATCTCGGCTCACTGCAACCTCCACCTTCCAGGTTCAAGTGATTCTCTTGCCTCAGCCTCCTGAGTAGCTGGGACTACAGGTGTGGGCCATCATACATGACTAATTATTTGTCTTTTTGGTAGAGACGGGTTTTCACCATGTTGGCTAGCCTGGTCTCAAGCTCTTGACCTCAAATGATCCTTCTGTCTCAGCCTCCCAAAGTGCTGGGATTACAGGCCTGAGACACCGCACCCAGCCTCCTATCTCTCTTATTGATTTATTCATTCAACAAATCATTGATGAGCACATGCTGCTTACCAGGAACTGTCCTGGACAGTGTGGAAACAGCAGATGCAAGATTGCCCTCTGGCCTCTCCCGGTCTATTCTCCAAACAATGGGCTCGTTACTATTCTCTGTGAGTGTGTGTTTTAATTATGCAGTTTCTCTGCTCAACACCTATATGATGACTTTCAACTCTTCACTGTGGCCCAAAGTGCCTGGGTGATCTGGTATTTCCAGCAGCTTCTCCCTCCAAGCCTCTCCTCTTCTCCATCCATGTTCACTGGGCTTTAACCACATTGCCTTCTTTTCATCCTTCTGATTCCTCAACTAGGCCACATTCCTTGCCAGCCACCTGAGGGCCTTTGCTCATGCTGTTCCTTTGGCCTGAAGCTTCCTTTCCTCTCATTCTATGTGCTGCCAACTCCTCCTTCAGGTCTTGGTTTTTTGTTTTGTTTTGAGACAGGGTCTCACTCTGTCACTCAGCTAGAGTGCAATGGCACGATCTCGGCTCACTGCAACCTCTGCCTCCCGGGTTCAAGCAATTCTCCTGCCTCAGCTTTCCGAGTAGCTGGGACTACAGGTGCATGCCACTACACCCTGCTAAATTTTTTTTTTTTGTTTTATTTTTAGTAAAGACGGGGTTTCACCATGTTGGCCAGGCTAGTCTTGAACTCTTGACTGCTGGTGATCCACCCACCTCGGCCTCCCAAAGTTCTGGGATTACAGGCATGGGCCACCCCACCCAGCCCAGGTCTTGTTTTAAATGACACCTTCTCTGAACACCCTATTTCCTCTCTTTGCACCCTATTTCCTCCACAGCCCTTATCTATTACGGTAGATGGTAAACTCCTTTAGGGCAGGAAACAGGATTATGTAATTCACCAATCTGTCCTCACACCTCAGGTGTGCTTGTTGAATAAAGGAACTCAGAACTAAGTCCGTCTCTTCCCACTATAACCCTTCTGAGAGCTGAAGCTGAGGTTTCTTTTCTTCTGGCGGAACACCCATGCAGTAGCCTGGCCTATGCAGCACTGCTCAAGCTGTGTTCTGTGAAACGTTGTTATCTCGGTGAATGAAATTTAGAATGAAATTTAGAGCTTCACAGTATCCAGCATGGGATTAGACTCTGAGAAGTCCTGCTGCAGGGAGCCCATTTAGGTCGGTTCAACCCAGACATTCCCAGCCTTGTTTTTCTAACTACTGGGATACAATTTAATGGGAAACTAGACAACCCCAAAGCTCAGGAGCTGTGGCCATTCTGTCCAGGAATTGCTAGAGAGTCAGCCTTGAGGCCGGGCACGGTGGCTCACACCTGTAATCTTAGCACTGTGGGAGGCCGAGGTGGTGAATTACGAGGTCAGGAGTTCAAGACCAGCTTGGCCAATATGGCGAAACCCTGTCTCTACTAAAAAATACAAAAATTAGCCGGGCGTGGTGGCGTGTGCCTATAATCTCAGCTACCTGGGAGGCTGAGGCAGGAGAATCATTTGAACCTAGGAGGGTGGAGGTTGCAGTGAGCCGAGATCGCACCACTGCACTCCAGCCTAGGCGACAGAGCGAGACTCCATCTCAAAAAGAAAAGAGAGAGTAAGCCTGGAGTGGCAGTGAAGCCTGAGCCTTGGGTTAGACAGGGTCCTGGATTGAATGTGGCTCTCCATGCCCTGGTGATGATGACTGTGCTGGTGCCCATGGTCAACTGAATAAAGCCCCCAAAGACGTTCGTGTTTGAATCCCCAGGACCTGGGAATGATGCTTTGTATGGCAGGAGAGATTTTGCAGGTGTGGCTACATGAAAGAGTTTGAAGTCATCATGGATTAGCCTGCAGGAGCTGGATGTGCCCAGTGTAATCACACCATCCTTATAAGAGGGATGCAGAGGGTCAGGGTCACAGGAGAAGGTCCTCACCAATCTGATGTATGATGAACATGGAAGAAGGGGCCTCAGCCAAGGAATATGGCAGCCCCTAGAGACTAAAAGAGGCAAGAAAACAGTGGCTCCTCTCAGAGCCTCCAGAAGGAACCAGGCTTGCTGATACCTTGACCCTAACTAGCCCTGTGAAACTGTTTCAGACTTCCGACCTCCAGACCTTCAGAGAATCCATGTGAATTGTTTCAGGCCACTTGGTTTGTGACTATTTGTTGTGCCTGCCGTGGGAAGTGAAGATAGCACCTCACAGGGGCTCATGATGTCTTGGTTCTAAAGTTTGTCTTTTCTTTCACTCTCTTCAACAGCCATGACCAATCGTCTGTGCTCCTCTCTCTGTGCCTAACATTGTCATCTCCCATATGCACCACCAGCCCACCTTTTGAGAAAGAATTCAAACTTCACTTCCTGGCCAGGCTGGTCTCGAACTCCTGACCTGAAACCACACTTCCTTCATAAGGCTTGCTGTGACCCCACCACACCCACCAGGTAAAAGTAGAAACCCACAGTACTCAAAGTGGGGAACCCTTCCCACCCCATATTCGAGCCTTATTCCCCACCAGACTGAATATCCAGGGAGGTTTGTGGATGATGTAAATGGAAGGTGTAGAAGGTGAAGGCCCAGGGTGGAAAGGGCTCTGCCTCTGCGCCTCCAATGAATCAGGCCTGTGCTCTGTCTGACCTGGAGAGTGTCCTCATCTGTGCCCTCACCTTGGGTCCACCTTGTGAAGCCAACATGCCACTTTGCCTCCTGGACCATTTCCCCTGGATGTCTCACAAGCCCCTCAGGCCTACCATACCCCAAACTGACATTAGCATATACCAAACACGTGCCCCTCCTCATTCCCTGGTTCCTGTGGGCACCACCGCCTGCCCCTACCCCAACCCAGGACTCTGACATCATCCAAGCCTCTCCCTTCTCCTTCACCTCACACTCTCTGTTCTTTACAAAGTCCCATTATTTCCGCCTCAGACACATCTCTCAAATCCATCTTCTTTTCTGTGTCTCCACTATCTGTGCTGCAGGCCAGACCACCATCACCTCTCACTGGACCCTGCTCCGGCCACCTCCCTGATCTTTCTGCCTCTGGGCTCGCTCCATGCAGCCCCTTCTCCACACAGCAGCAGCCAGGGGCAGTTTCTGGAGCCCACAGCTGAATGCGTTGTTCTCCTTGCTCAGGCAGAGAAGAGGACAGATGGGGCTTTGGTCTCCTGTGTGTAGCCAGAGGGACTGCCTTGCCCGTTACCATCTCCAGTAGTTCCTGACACCACAGCTGCTGATGGCAAATGCCCCCAGCCCCAGCCATGCCCCAGCCCCCTGCATTGAGAGACCCAGCTCACCCAGAGGGCAGCTACAGCCTCCTTCATCCACAGCCGCTGCTGTGACTCAGAGGGACCTTGTCCTGGAAGGCCAGTGGAGCCCTCCTGAGGCCTTCACAGGCCCAGTGTCCATCCTGGTCATGACAAGTGTAATAACACAGCTCTTGCATTAAATACTATTTATTGCAGCAGCAGTTTTTCTTAAGTTTGTTGTAATTTTGAATTTTGTGAAGAGTAAATTATTCATTTTGTTTTTTAACTTGAATTTATGTATTATACCTAAGTAAGAACTGATCTGGGCTACGCTTGACTAGTTGGTATAATACCACATCTGTAGACATTTAATTAAACATGTATTAATTTTAATGATGTTGTTTTCTGCTCACATGTTAGCATCAATAATTTTTTAAAGAGGGCTTGAATATTTGTGTAAGTTCTTGAAAAATGTATGGGCCCAAAGCCATGAAGCTATTTTTTTTTCTTTTTTTGAGATGGAGTCTTGCTCTGTCACCCAGGCTGGAGTGCAGTGGCCAGATGTCAGCTCGCTGCAAGCTCCGCCTCCTGGGTTCACGCCATTCTCCTGCCTCAGCCTCCCGAGTAGCTGGGACTACAGGCGCCCGCCACCTCGCCCCCCAGGTAGTTTTTTTTTTTTTTTTTGTATTTTTTAGTAGAGACGGGGTTTCACCGTGTTAGCCAGGATGGTCTCAATCTCCTGACCATCGTGATCCACCTGTCTCGGCCTCCCAAAGTGCTGGGATTACAGGCTTGAGCCACTGCGCCCGGCCACCATGAAGCTATTAAAGGTCCCTGGGTCTCTGCAAAGAGGCCAGGCCTCCCACAGAACTTAGGGCTGAGTCACACCAGGGCTGGGTGGCTGGGGTGGGAGAGTGGCAGGCTCCTCACATCCATGGGTATCCAGGCCACACCTGCTGTGTTACAGAGGGCCTGGGAATGAGAAAAAGAGGGAAAGAGGTTTGAGCTTGGGGATGCCTCTCCAGTGGGATCCAGGACAGCCTGAGCACCCAAACCCCCTCTAGTATACTTCCGCTGTCCTCTCCTGCCAGCCCTGATACCACCCCCTCTCCCTGCGCTACTGATGCTGGCTCAGACCCAGCTCTCTTGAAGCTTGGCTTCTCCAAGAATTTATGGCTCTGAGCTAAGTGGAGAGAGATCAGAGCCACTGGCTCTCTCATATCTCAGTCTTATTTTCAATATTCCATTTCCCCAGCACTCCAACATCACAGAGCTTTGGGAAATGAATGGAGGCTATGGGGTCGGAAAAGCCTGGATTCATATGCTGGTTCAATATGAATGAGTTCCATGATTTGGGATAAGTCCCTTCCCCTGTCTGAGCCTTGGTTTCCTCATCTGCAAAATGAAATACCAACTCGTGGGTGATAGGATCAAATATGAAACCACTAGCACCACGCTTGGTAGTCTGTGTAGGCACTTGATAAAGAGGAGTTTCCTCCCTCATCATTTTTGACCCACAGTCTCATCAGACACATCTGATGAGATGTGTCCCTGCTTCCTTTCCTTTTTCAAGAGTCCTTGCTACCAGGGTACCTGGAATGCCTATGTGAGGTACCTTATGCCAGGGTACCTATGTGAGAAAGGGCTGGGAAGTCTGTTTGCTTTATAGCTGATGCGTGCCGGGCACAGTGCCGGATGCCTTAAGCAGGTAGTATTATCACTCTTCACCTGCCTGATGAATGTGTTGCTCTATTCCTAATAGGCTCCGCTCCCTCACTCCTACCCCCAGTACCTCCAGTGTGCCACCACTCTGCAGAGGTGCAGAAGGCAGAATGTGGATCCTCTTGGCCAAGTTCCAAGCCACAGTCCCGCAAATACATCAAAATCAAAATTGATTCTAACTAAAAACTACTTCCCCTGACCATTGCATTTGACCCTACTATTTTACTATTTAAGTCCAGGGGGAAGGCATATTTTTTCAAATAGAAAAAATATATAATCACTTAATTTCAGCACTCATCATGAAAGATTTTGAGTCAGCAAATCAGTGTAATGGATTGCAGCTAATGCATTTTCCTTCCAGAAAGTGGATGGATGGTATCCAGTTTCCATTCAAACTGCAGTCAGCCTGCAAATGATGGAGGCACAGATTTGGCTCACTCTTCTCTCCACCAAAACTTACTGTGGTGTTCTCACATCCACATCTCCAGAAATCCCAGGGTTGAATATACTGCTCAACAAGCAGGGACTAGGGGCTCTAAAGTGCCTCCCAGTCACCACCCTCATGATCATTATCATCACCACCACCGCCATCAGCAGCATCCCCACCATCCATCCGTCATCTCTGAGCACCTCCTGTGCATCAAGCAGGACCCAGCCCCATAACATTGCGATGAGGTTTGTACTGTTATCTCTGTTTTCCAGAGAAGATGACCAAGGCTCAGAGAGAATAAATCATTTATCCAAAGTTACCGAGCTGGTGAGAAACAGGGCTAAGACTCACCACACGGTCACTCTGACTCTAAAGCCCAGGTTTTTCCTACTGTAAGATAATTTCTGGCCGGGCACAGTAGCTCACGTCTGTAATCCCAGCACTTTGGGAGGCTAAGGCAGGCGGATCACAAGGTCAGGAGTTCTCAAACTGACCAACATGGTGAAACCCTGTCTCTACTAAAAATACAAAAATTAGCCAGGTATGGTGGCATGCACCTGTAATCCCAGCTACTCAGGAGGCTGAGGCAGGAGAATCGCTTGAACCTGGGAGACAGGGGTTGCAGTGAACTGAGATTGCATCACTGCACTCCCTCCTGGGCAACAGAGAGAGACTCTGTCTCAAAAAAAAAAAAAAAAAAAAAAAAAAAAAAAAGATAATTTCTCTTCTGTTTTTCCTTTTATCATCATGATCTACTTTTTCCTTTGCTCGTCAGCCCTTGTCAGTTTCTCCTGTCCAATGCTGCCTAATTTCTGGCATGCCTTCAAGATTAAGTCTTCTGTTTTCACGTACATGTTTTCAACTATGATCTGTGTGATGTGCTTGTGGCTCCCCCATAGCTCTACTTACTATAATCTGTTTAAATTTGCATCTACTACTCCCCTCCCATTCCCTCCAGATGTATAGTCTTTGATGGCCAATACTGTCTATTGGTCACTGCATCCCTGATGTCCAAGGCTTGGCTCATGATTTACTCAAAAGTTTATGGGATGAATCGGTGAACAAATGCATAGATAGGTGGATGAAAAGACAGATGCATTGATGGAAAAGTGGAGGAGTGAATAAGACATTAATTAGTGGTTAGGGATTGCTCTAAAATCTACATTCCTAACCCTCTTCATTTCCCTCCATCCCTATATCTCCAAATGTCTATCAGAAGCTTCCACTTGGCTCCTTTGCTGTCATCTGAAACTAAACCTGTACAAACATGAGCCCCACCCTAGCTGATTCCTGCTTACCTCTTTTCTGCCAGTGGTACAGTAATGTTATTCCTCCCAGTGCCCTCCTGCATGTGTTCTTTGATTCATTCATTCAGTCAACGTTTTTAGTTTGTTTTTCTTTTTCTTTTCTTTTTTTGCTATCTGCTATGTGCCAAACACAGTTCTGGGGAATAAAAAATGAGTAAGTAAGACAGGCAAGATCCTGGGGGATTTCTCCCAAAGGATTTTGCCGTCAACAATGGGGTGGAAAGTGGGATATCGAACAATAAGCAAGTAAAAAATTAACAAGATAATTATAGAGCATAATGAGTGATACATTAAGGAAAGAGGGTGATGAAAGAGAACAGATCTCATACCAGATAAGAAGGCTAAGCAGGGCTCATTTGAAAACTGATATGAAGCAAGACCTGAAGGAGAGAATACGCCAGTCAAGTAAAGAGCTGAAAGAAGAGCATTCCAGGCAGAAGAACCAGCAAGTTCAAAGGTCCCTGGGCTGGTAAGAGCCTGATGTGTTTCAGGACCAGAAAGGCAGCTGTGTGACTGGAGGGCAGTGAACAGTGGGAGACTACAGGGGAGGAGGTTTTTCATAGACCTGTGCAAGGTTATGCAGGGCCTTGAAGGCCCTGGGAAGTAGTACAGATTTTATTCTAGGAGCAGTGGGAAGCTACTGAAGAGTCTTAAAATGGGAATGATATGATCCTTCTGGCAAGTAGGCAACAAGCTACTCCCCAAAAGCCCCAGGTGCAGATGATTCATAGGTGAGTTATGTGAAGGCAGTAGCAAAGAGATAACTCCAATTCCATTTGCGCTGTTACACAGCACAGAGAAGGTAAGCATCCACATGCTTTTTATGAAGTCATCATGGCTAGGCATGGTGGCTCACGCCTGTAATCGCAACACTTTGGGAAGGCAAGGTGGGGGGATCCCTTGAGGCAAAGAGTTTGAGACCAGCCTGGGGAACATGATGAGTCCCTGTTTCTACAAAAAGTCAAAAAAAATGCTGGGTGTGGTGGCGCATGCCAGTAGTCCCAGCTACTTGGGAGGCTGAGGTGGGAGGATGGCTTGAGTCCAGGAGGTCAAGGCTACAGTGAGCCATGATTGTGCCACTGCACTCCAGGTTGGGTGACAAAGCGAGACTTTGTCTCTAATAAATGAATAAATATAAAGTCATTGTGATACTGTTGGCCATTCTAACAAGGTGCAGCAAAAAGAAATGGGCAGACTTATTTATGAAAGTAATGCAAAAAATCTTTAACATTGTAGTAAATAGAATTCTGAAGCACATTGAAAGAATAACACATCACAATCAAATTGATATTATACCAAAAAGGCAAGAATGATTTAATATTTAAGTGGAAAAAGCATGATCATCTCTAAAAAGACTGAAAGGCATTTGATAAATTCATCAATCCTTGATTTTTACAACACTTTCTTAGTCAAATAACAGTACATGTACAGTTTCTAAATATTTTATGCCAATTTTATGTCAACATTATACTTAATGGCGAGATACTGGAAACACTTCCATTAAAGTCAGAAAAATTATTCTAGAGGTATAGGAGGAACAATTGAATAAGAGAAAGAAATGAGAGGTATAAAAATGAGAAAGGAGGCAAAATTGTCATTATGTGAACAATACATTCAAGATAACCTATGAACTATTAAAACTAGGAAGTTTAGTATAGTTGCTGAATGGAGATCAATACATGCAAAAATTTTAATAACCATGTTGTTTATAATTACAACTAAAACAATAAATGTAATTTTTTAAATATGTAAAAGAAGCGCTGAGGCTGGGCATGGTGGCAAACACCTGTAATTCCA